CTGGGATGTGTGTATCCCAGGACTCACACCCCACCGTGAAAGCCCTGGAGAAGAAGGCCCCACCCAAGGAAGGTTCCACCCACCTCCCACCCCATCCCTGGCCCAGGAACACCGCATGCCAACTGTCTTTGACCTTGGCTCTGGAGCCGGCTGGCCTGTGGAGCTCCCACTTGGTGGTTCTGATGGTGGCCTGGTTGTGCACCACTTGGGGAACCCTCCCCGTCTGTAAGGTCTCCAGGAGGATGGACTTGCCCTGGCGCGGGGGCCCCACAAGGATCATCTTCACCAGCTTGCACCTCTCTGCCTTCCGCAGTTGAGCGCGCAGGAAAGATATCATTGCTTTGGGCCCTGTGCAGTAATCACAAGGGAGAGTCAGTGCACGTAGCTCACCTGCCTCTCGCCAGCTCACCTGCCTCTTGCCAAACCACGGATCGCAGCCAACATGCTCACGACATGCTCATGTGGGGAGAACCGGAGGCTACTGAGTCTGCTGGAGACCAGATGCCCACAGGCAAACACCCTACGAGATGCTGCCTAGGAGACTAGAGACTGGACAAGCGTGTCATAGAAGGACTCAATCACCATCACTCTGAGTGATTTTTTAGCACTTCCCCAAATGCTGGGCTGGAGCTCTGATCTGCAGGTCACCTTGCTGGACTGGGGTTGGATTTCCCAGGAGGTGGCACTGAGGAGAGAGGGCTATGGAAACTCTACTCAATGGTTAACTGTGCCCCCCAAAATCTGTGCTAGAATCCTAACCCCTATCTTGATCAGAAATGGGGGGATTCTTTGTTATGTTTATTACACAACACACCTGAGCAGAGTGAGTTCTAAATCTAGTCACTTCTGAGTTATAAAAATGGTGTATAAAAGATGGTTGTTGTTGTTGCTATGTGCTGTGGAGTCGGTTCTGACTCATAGCGACCCTGTACGGGGTTTCCGAGGCTGTAAATCTTTACGGGAGCAGAAAACCTCATCTTTCTCCCGCGGAATAGCTGGTAGTTTCAAACTGCTGACCTTGTGGCTCGCAGCCCGATTCATAACCACTACGCTACCAGAGCTCCTTATGTATAAAAGATTATGTATAATCTTTTTTATACATAAAATATCAGACAGAGATATGCACACGGAGGGGGGGGTATGCCACGTGAGGGTCCTCTACAAGTCAAGGAGTGGGTAAAATGCTTGACTGCTAACAAAATGGTCTATGGTTCAAACTGCCCCTTGGAAGAAAACCGTGGTAGGCCACTTAGAAAACCCTGTGGGTCAGTCCTACAATGTCCTACAGGGCCACTGTGAATCGGGACCAACTTGATGGCAGAGACTTTGTTTCTTTTGGTTTACTGACGAGGAAGGAGGCCACATGGATGAGGATACTGGCCGCCAGAGCTGTGAGCAAACAGATTTCTGTTCCTTAAAGACGCCCCCCTCCCCCCCCAGTCATCTGCTGGTATGGCCCAGCAGCATTAGAAATTCAAGATACCTACCTTCTTTCTGGATCTCTGCAGGCACATTGAGGATGTGCAGGTCTTCAACATCCAACTGCCAAAGGTTCCTCAGCTGCCCCAGCCCCTGAGGAAGCTCCCGAATGCCAGGATTGCTGAGGACACACACACACACACACATACACACACACCCCACCCTGTCAGCCTCTACTGCCTGCGAGGGACAGAGACAGCTCGCAGCATGTATGTCAAAGCGTTCTGTCTACTACAAGTCCTCTGTGCTTAGAGCAGATGTCCCATCCACCTTCCTAGTCTCTGGAAGTAATCACGGTGCCATGACCATGACCGGGCATCTTCTTACAATGGCACTGCAGCTTGAAGGACTGCGTCTGTCTGTCCAGCCTTGCGCTGTCTGTAGACAGCTGTCAGTGAGTGGGTGGGGTGGGGTGGTTGTACAGCTCTTTTCATGACAGCCCCAGTGAAGGAGAGAGAGGATCACAGTGTCACACCCCGATGCCATCTTCCTGACCTCCCTCCCGCTTCCTCCACCAAACTCCACCTCTGCTTCTTGTAAAATAGCGTCCATCTCTCAGCTCCTGTGTCCCAGAGGGTCGCTGTGGCTTTTCTCAGCGTGCACTTACTTTCCCAAGTAGAGCTCTGATAAGTTTCTCAGCTGGCACACTGATGGAGGCACTGCGTCCAGGTGATTGTCATTCAGACACAGGACTTCCAAAGAGTCACTGAGGAAGGCCGGGAATTCCAGCACGCAGCCTGCAGGGAGACAATATAGCAGACCAGACTGAGAGATTCTGGTCTGTCATCGTGGGAAACTGAGGTGGTCTACCAGTTGGTACAACCTCTGGAGGACATTCTGGCAAAGTTCCCACGGATCTAACAGTTCCAACTGTAGGAAACGATCCCGCAGACGTCCTTGTATGTGGGGCAAAGATGTGAGGGCAGGGACCTCCGTGGCACAAATGCCTATAATCCCTGGGGCAGAGGACAAGCTACGTGTCCATTCACAGGGGCCTAGTTACAAGGATAATGGGATAGTGTGCGGATATTAGAAAGAACGGGCCAGGCTCACAGGCATGGAGATGAAGTGGCACTCAGGAACTGTTGGTGGATTAGCCAAGTTAGATGCAGAATCAGGTGTGAGAAGACGTGTGTGCCAGAAAGGCAGGCACATGCATGTCCACACAGGTGTGTATCTGTGCACCAGGAATCACAGGCACACAAACAACAGATGTGAGGGTAGTTCTGGTCCAGGGGTAGGATTCTCGTCTTTGGTGGGCTTGATTCCTACTCAGGGCATCTCAAGGGCAGCGCCACCTATCTGACAGCGGAGACTCGCGCGTTGCTATGATGCTGAACGAGTTTCAGTGCAGCTCTCAATGAATTGACTTCCCTGAATCAGCCAATGAAAACACTCTAGCCCACAACCGGCCAGGGGAATGACAAAGGCTGGGCAATGCGCTGTTCGGTGCACGGTCATCTCCTACTGAGCACAACAACAACAACAACAACACAGTAACACTGTAGGTGTGTATGTAACACACTGACACAAGTGCCACCACAGATACACACCAAGTCACCAGAGTCTCTGGAGAAGGGAGCTGCTACAAGATGGGATTCTCCTCATGAACTTTGTTCTCTGAGGCTCTTGTATTACTTTTTTAATTCAAAAAAGTTGATTAAAAAAAAATAACACGGGCTACGTTGCTACGTTTCCCGAGAGAGTCTCTGAAACACCAGCCAACTTTCGGAATCTAAGTGACTTCACTAATTAGATTATGTGGTTACCATTAAACCCCAATCATATCTGCTATTTCCATGGGCCTGGGAGTGTTTGAGTTGAGAAAGGGTGGGGGCGAGACCCTGGGGAACATATTCTGATGGAAGTCACATGCCACCTCAAAGCCCTCTCTCCCAGCTCCCAGCGCCACACGCAAAAGGTAAAGGCCAGCTCATTTGTTGAGTTGAAGTGATGTTTCCTTGCCCTCGATCACCACTTTCCCACTTTCTCCACAGATGTAGCTTCCACATCAATGGCAATGGGGTAACCTGCCTCAGAGAATGTTCCAGAAGAGACAAAACCGAATACCAAAAGGGTGGTGGTGGTGATGTACCGTGGAGTCAGTTCTGACTCATAGCGACCCTGTACAGGGTTCCCGAGGATGTAAATCTTTGTTGTTGTTGTTGGCAGGTGCCATCGAGTCGGAACCGACTCATAGCGACCCCATGCACAGCAGAACGAAACAATGTCTGATCCTGGGCCAACCTCACCACTGCTGCCACACTTGATGCCATCAATGATGCCACCTGGCTGATCCATCTCGTTGGGGGTCTTCCTCTTTTTCTCTGACCCTCTATCTTACCAAGCATGACATCCTTCTCCAGTGACTGTTCTCTCCGGACAATATGTCCAAAGTATGAGAGACAAAGCATAGCCATCCTGGCCTCCAAGGAGCACTCTGGTTGCACTTCTTCCAAAACAGATCTATTGGTTCTTTTGGCAGTCCATGGCACTTTTAGTATTCTCCTCCAACACCACAACTCAAAGGCATCAATTCTTCTATGGTCTTTCTTATTCACTGTCCAGTTTACGGGAGCAGAAAGCTTCATCTTTCTCCTGTGGAACAGCTGGTAGCTTTGAACTGCTGACCTGCGGTTTGCAGCCCAATTAATAATTACTACGCCTCAGAGAATGTTCCAGAAGAGACAAAACCGACTACCCAAAGGGATTCCCAGAAAAATCTACCAGCTAGCTGCAGTATGAATGGGACTCACTGCCCATGTGAACAAAGCTGCCCGGATTTTAAAGATGGTTTTGTATTAGAGCTTGTTCCATAGAAAATGCCCAAAAAGGTGTTTTGTTTTGTTTAATTTTTCCTTCAGTGAAAAGGGCTAATGAACTTTAGGTTATCCGAGTTCGCATGCTCACTCACTAGAAGGCCCCCTTTCTTCCCAGAGAACGCATTCTGAACACCTGGCCTCTATGCTTCCCAAGTTCCAGATGGTGTCTGGGTGTTTATTAAGCATTTTTAACTAACGGGAGGAGAGAATACGAAACTGCCCCAGCAAACTGAGGTAGCACCTGCCAGACTCCATAATGAACACCTGGGCAGCAGGGAAGACAGTCTGCGGTATTTATTAACTGCAACGATTATTCATAAGCTATTTATGACTGCTGGTCTGAATTTTACCGTAAAAACGGCCATCCAAATTATTTTTGGATGCCCCAGTGGGTGTGTAAACATGACAAATTGAATGTACATGAATTGCCTGAATCTCCCTTCTCCATGTCCGAACAAGCTATCTTTCATAGGTAACCCCCAACCTGAGGGTCACGACCTAGGGAGGGCGATTCACAAGGGGCTCCCTTCCGTCAGCTCGGGGGTAAGCTCCAACTTTCTAGACTACAATTTAAAAAGCAAAAGTCTTTATCATATGCCAAAGCCACACTCCTCTCTGCCAGGGGACCTTCCAAGAGGTGTGGCCTCCCAGCCCAGTTCTGCAAACTTGATCCGGGGGCACCACCAACAGTGTTCTGATACTTGTTTCAGTGAGTCCATATGGTCTTCCTTTCAGGTGGTTTCACAAGGACGGAGGGAAGACTTCTTCCAACAGTGGCTGGTGCCAGTGAACGGTGGCCGCTCTTCACACCCTGGTACTAGGCTCTGAATGGGTTTTGAGTCCAAGATGTAAGGAGGGCAGCCCATCAGCCATGGAAGTGCAACAGAGACGTCCACGCCAGTGACTTTTTCATGCCCATCGCTCCACTTCGGTATCAGTGAGGAAGAAAAAAAGCGGATTTCTCCTTTCTTTCAAGTGAAATGACCATGTACAGACACAATTCCTGAAGTCCCAAGACTCTTCGTTTGGAGCACCATCATTTATGAAATTTATAATTCCCCTATCTGTGTGGGAAGTGCTGGCAGCTGAGGGTTAGGCGGGAGAGAGATGAGGCGGTCAGTCCACTTTCATAAAGATGTAGTCCAGGAAACTCCACAGTGTTGCTGAGTCGGATTCAACCCAATGGCAGTGGCTTTGGCTTGGTTTTGATCATGTTCCTCCTTTGTGGACTGTTTATAATTGTTATCATTTTTTCACTTAGGATGTCTTTTTTTTATATCCATTTGTAAGAACTCTTTGTATATTAAGGACTTGAGCTAATACGTGTTGTAACAATTTGTGCTGTAAATATTTCTTCTTAGTCTGTTTGCATTGTGAATCTATTTCCAAGGTCTTTCACTGAACAAGAGTTTTAAATGTTTACAAGGCCAAGGGTTTCTCTCTTTCCTGGTGATTCTCCAGCTAGTTTAAAAAGGTCTTTCCCACTCTCCGATTATAAACATAGTCTCCAAAATGTTAGCCTTTTCTTTTTATGTTACATTAAAACCTGCCACTCACATGACAATTTTGTAATCCCACACGACAATTTTTATAACTGATGTAAGGTAGAGGTCTACCATAATCCGTCTCCTCCCCATAGCCCCAATACAACTAGATATGAGTCCTGGTGTGGTGCTGTAGGATATGCACTTGACCACAAGGTTGGTTTGAACTGCAAGGTCGGAAGTTCAAATTCACCATCTGCTCCTCAGAAACCCTATACAGGGTCACTATGAGTCGGAACCAACTCGACAGCATTTAACAACGGCAGCTAGATAGGTAACAATACCAAGACTATTGATTTAAAAACAATAAAACATTCTTTGTCCCTTTTGTGACATATTGTTATTGTTGGGTGCCACTGAGGGGACCCTGTCTCCCAGGGATCCCAGGCATGATGAAAGGTCACACCGTAGAACTGCAGGCTTTCCTTCCTTGTGTGGCTGGGTCTGGAAGCTCTGCTGAAGCCTCTTCAATGCAGAGCCACACGTCAGCCTCCAGTGGGGACACACGGGGGCTTTACAGGGGCACACCGGCTGTGAGTTAAGGCCGGGTCTTTGGCATGGAATGTGAGAGTTCTACCACTGAGCATCCGGTGTCCCACACATTAAATTCCTAGAGCTCTTTAGGTCTACATTGGAGCTTCCCTTTTTGTTTCATTGAGTCTGGTAGCATAGCGGTTACAAGTTGAGTTGCTAACCCTAAGGTCAGCAGTTTGAAACTACCAGTCGTTCCGCGGGAGAAAGATGAGGCTTTCTGCTTCCGTAAAGATTTACAGCCTCAGAAGCGCTGTGCAGGGTCGCTGTGAGTTGGAACTGACTCCGCAGCACATAACAAGCAATAATGTATTATTTTTACAATGTATATGTTTACATATGCGTTTTCAAGCATATGTAAACAAATAAACATGACTGAGGGCAAGCCACAAAGTATTGCTACAAAATCATTTGTGGTTTTTGACTCACAGTGAGCCTATATAGGGTTTCTGAGGAGCAGGTGGTGGGTCTGAACTGCCGACCTTGTGGTTCGCAGTCCAGTATTGATCCATAGCTATAAAATCATGGTGGTGGTAGTGGTGATGTGCCGTGGAGTCAGTTCTGACCCACAGCGACCCTGTACAGGGTTTCCGAGGCCGTAAATCTTCATGGGAACAGAAAGCCTCATCCTTCTTCCAC